ACACACAACATGGAAATAAGATGCAAAGGAGTTCCATTTGCATCAAAAAACTTTTGATTGAAAGGAACAACAAACAGCTCACTCTTTTGTTGCAGATGAGAGATAACTACCAACCCATGCTTTTACTGATGTTGTTTTTACTGATTTATCACCAGTAAAAAGAGGGTTTGATCGGACCCTGGTGAAAAACCATCAGTCTCTCCACAAATTAGGGAAAAAGGGGGAAAAAAATGGTGGAATTAATGAAAGTGAATGAGGACTACTAAATTACAAAAAGTCCAAATCACATTAAAAATTTGGACCATAACGGAAATCACTGAATGGATGAATTATGTCCTATGTTTTAAAAATATTTTAGATAAACCTGACTTTCAGAACAAACTCAAATTAATTGTAATTGTAGCATTGATCATTTTTGTAATTAATTGAAGCATTTTTTTTTGTAATCATGTTTGAAATTTGAGCACTCGTAAATGGTTTTGCATATGAACCCTATGACCAGGAACACTCCCATAGTTTCTGGGGCAAGCTCAAGCTAGTGACACAATAGAAAAGGCACTGCAGCTTGTATACAGCACAACAATCTTCATCATGTTTACTATATTTCTATGTATATCCCTCTCCTATGATCCATGGCTTTGCGAGTGCCATGCATATTTCATCAAAACCATGCACTGCCGCGGAGCCCATAGCTCAAATGGCTGTGACATCTTTACTAACAGTCAGCACTACACATCAGAGACGTGTAGTGCACATTTACTGTTAGCTTCATAGAGTAAAAGTATTTCCTCTGTTATTCCATATAGTGTCATGTGATCTCAGTAGCAGGAGTGTCTGTTTCTACAAGGGATTGAACTTTCCCAGCAAAAAAGGAATATTCACAGTACATACAAAAAATATTTGAATTCAGATCTGAATGTCTTTGGGTGTTAAAAGCACAGCACTTCCAGAATTCGCTCACCAAGCTACACAAGCTGCACTAGCATTGACTGGCTGCAGGGGTTTAGGTAGTGAGGATTCATATCAGAGAGAGTCCTTTTAGATTTAAATCTACTGGATTTCAGAATTGAACCTGGCAACCCAAATGAGAGGCTCATGCAAGGCTCATTCTGCTTTCTGACTGGATAACAGTCGTGAGAACCAAAACACTTACATAAACATAAACAACTTACTCATTATGTCCAATGTTTTTGTAATGAACAAATCAATTATTAACAGTAAAAACTATATTTGTCTCATATCTGGGGACACAGTAGTCATATTTATGGAATTCTAAATAAAAGTGATAAAGTTACTATAAATACATTTCTTAATAAATAAATACAGAACTACCAGTAAATACATCTCAAATAGTCAAAACTATTCAAATAAACAAATATTTTGAAAGCGAGACCTTGAGGATTGTACAAGAGACTGGGCACTGTAGGTCATAATAATCTTTGTAATGCTCCAGTAAGATGAAAAGAAAGTGAATCATAATTTAAAATAAACTAATATTCTGACAGCCACAATGGGGCAGTAAAGGATATAACCTCTTTTCTTACAGTGTGAGAAGTCTGTCTGGCTCCATGATAAAACTATTCACTTGCAACTGCAATTCCACTGGTTGTTTTTCATTAAGATTGGGAAAGAATTACTATTTCCCCGGGACTAAGTACACGTCAGTATGATGGTAGTAGTCATCATATTTCAGTATGTATATATAGTATTTCAATTCAGTATGTCATAATGAAAAAACAACAACCTTTGCCTCTGCTCTGTCAATCTTCAAATCAAACCATCAAGTATTAAACAGTAATGTAAACAGATATAAAAATGCCACTATGGGATGACTTTCAAAATGCAGGAGGCAGATTGGTAGAGTGCATAAGCTTGTTTTCTCTCTGATGAGAGCCGCAGTAAATCATTTAGCAAGCTTGATTTAACACTCCTCCTATTACTTATTCATGTAAAAGGCACAAACACCGACATGATTTGTAGCCTGTCAGTATTTTCTTATAAAAGTAAGTTTACATCAACTGAATGGAGGAGGTGAAAATGTTATTGCTTTGTTTTTCATGATCAATTAAGCTATATAATACAGTAGAGTTCACTCACATACTGTTGACATGTCTTTGGGCAAGACACTGCACTCATACTGCTGGTATGTGGTGGCATGGTTGTTCTAATCCTTATTTTAAAGGTGTAACAAGTGGAGGATATACAACTTGCTTTTGTCCATGGATGCCACAGGGAGAAGTTACAGGTCAAATCTGTGAAGAAACAACTCAGCTCACAGTAAATATGCAAGATTTTCAAGGTGTTGGTGAGCTGTTAAAGAACCTGTAATGGACTTTTGCCTTACGATTTAATGCCATACTTTGGAACATTCTTGGAATTGATGGAGACAATTAGCTGGCAGCCGTACTACCAGAAAAGTTAGTGCACCTTTAAAGGGTAAAATTTGTACAGTTCAGATATAATTTATAAGCAGCTTTTGCGGTCAAAATACTAGTATGTCCAAAGTGTACTGTCTGTATCTAATAATAAACGATGTTATTGTCCGAGAATCTGGAAGTGCACATTTAGCATTATTACAGTTATTACAGTGACGGCAAACCTCTGCTCTAATCTCTGAAAGTTGAGAAACAAACTTATAAACTCACCACTGTGAATAATTAGAATGCTCAGGTAAAGAATTAGGTTCAAGACTGTCACTTTGAATCGCTCTCTCGTCATAAATATAATTGGTAGAATGGTCAGATCCACTAACCCATAGGTTGTCGGCATGTTTCCAGCTCGCACAGATGAATGTTGTTGTGTCCTTCGGCAAGACACTTAACCCACCTTGTTCCCAGAGTCTGTGTGCATGAATGTGCGAGTGAACGGGTGAGTGGCTTCTTGCTTTGAGTGCCTTGAAGGTAGAAAAGCACTGTAAAACGTTTTGCCCTTTACCATAAGATACGTGAGGAATATCAACTAAATAAGCTCAGGTAAAACCTCTTCAAGCGTATAACCTGAGAATCCAACCCAATTTTGTGCACCCGTGGCTCCTGCCTGTTTAAAAAGTAATAGAATGCAATCATTTGTGGAAGACTGTGTCCATCGGTGATGAATTGATTGAAGTTGAAAGAGGCAATTAGTTGGTGTGATAAATGCAGTGGCAGCAGGGACACAGCAGCAGACATGAGGGTGACACAACACAGGCTCCAAACGGAAACTCTCCCATTATTCTCCTCCCTCCTCTCCGCACCATTCATCTGTGCACGTAATGACTAAAGAAAAGAACAAGACGCTATTCTGTCAGGGTGATTCACCGTCAATTTAACCAGATTTTAAAGGATGTGATTGGATAGAGAGCAAGGAAATGCATAGAAAAATACCAGGTTATGAAATGGACAAATTACAAGGGTGGAAGTCCAGTTCTTCCATGTACTTATGCAAATTTCGGTGTCTGGAATATTTTATAATGGAAGTCTAGTTACAGTTTACAGTTGGATGTAAAGGTCGGCCTGTTACAGTAATTACTAGCCTATATCAATTTATCGTTAAATAAATGATAGATGGAACAATTTTAGGGGTAAGTATTGTTATTTTTTAGTATTAAGATTGAAGCTATAGACTTGAATGAATGAAGCTATTACACATTGAACTAACTGAAGCGTTTAATTATGGTATTTATTGTGGTTCATTAAACATTATTGTACATTTAGAATTGTTTTTAGAGTTATTGTGTCAGTTAGATTTCTAATATGAGTTTCAGTACTACTATTTATCATCAGGCAAAATGTATTTTCCCAAGTCGATGGTGCGTGTCAGTATCATAACGTTGATCTCTTTGTACTCTAGGCTTCTCCCACAATCCTAGTCCTGCATGTACAACAATTAAGGACGCTGCAGCTGAATTAAAGCAATACTTATCTGATTAAAGTCCTGGTTGGGTTTCCAGTACTTGGCATACCCATTATCCAGAGGTTTAACTGCCTAAGGTCCATGTACTAGAGGTTCCAGTCCTCACTGACACGACAATAAAAATAAAATCAAAACAGGAATATATAACTAGACATTTTCATTCATGAAGGCTACAGCTGAGTGGAAAAAAAATAACAACAACAAAAAAAAAAACGATACATAACTGTAACGCGATACGGGAAATTACAAGTCACTGGCGCCATAGTGTGGCATATAGCGAAATTACACAATTTGGGAGCGATATGGTGTGTCCTGTTAATTGATTAGAAGAGTCAAGTAGTGCTATATTTATTTTTGTTTACTAGAAACACCAACTGAATAATGATTTTGTTTAACCCCAATAAAATAAATAGAGCAAGGAGGGCATCAAATGGGCTATAGCTGGTACAGTAGGCTGATTTGGAAACCTGACTGTCAAATATAAGTAGCAGCTCCTTAGAAGGTTAACCTGGCTGGTAACTTCATGGGCGTGTCTCTGACCGCTCACAGACCATCTCTGAACCGTCAGTTGTGAGACAGGCTCTGAAGATCATCAGAGATCCCTCTCATCTGATCAACACACAGAGCTCCTACATTCTGGGAGAAAATACAGTGTTTCTTTACGCAAAAAAAAACAACAGGTAGCCAACTCGTCCATGTCCCAGTCCATAAAATGTATTAACAACATTTATTAACTGTACAGATATTTGAAGTGATTGTATATAGTCCAGTTCTACTCATTTGTCTTTTGTTATGTCATATTTGCATGTTAATGCTTTATATTAATGATGAAACAATAAAAACTAAACCTACTTTTCTACTTGAACAGTAAGCGAACTGGTTTCAACAACGTCTCTGCATTGATTCCCCTTTACACATTCCCTCGAAAAAGACCACTGCTAAAGGTGAAAAAGCAGAGAGGCAATATCCCGATGTACGTAATTAATGAGGACAGAGAAGTGGCCTGAACGAGGGGATTTGGGACGTTTACCTCCGTGCGCAATGTAAAGCGGCGCCGCTCCGTGCTGATCCATCCCATTTCCTGACGCGCGCGCGCTCCTGAGGGAGGGCCAGTCCAACATCCATGGGAAAGTTCTCCCCACTTTTTCCGATTACATCGATTCTTTTTAAAGAAAGCACAAAGTGAGTGGAGCTCTAGAGGACTCAGCTTCTGGGGAGGAGGGGACGTGCGAGCAGAGAGCGCTCAAACCGATAGCCCAACAAGTAGGAGAAGAACTAGAACTTCAGAGAGAGAAAGGTCAGTATTTGTTAAATCCTATTTTAGAAAACGGTGTTACTAAATTGTGGGTCTTCTTTTACTCCGCAATAATTTAGAAGGAAAGTTAATGCCTTAAAGCTTAGCTAAATATTGTGGATAATGGATAAATACTGAAGAAATGTCCACTAAATGTTACAAATTTTACAGTAACATACGATAACATATAAGAACATCTATGGCTGACTTATATTAAAAGTTAAAGTTATTTTCCATTACCCAAAGAAACAAAATGTATCATTAAAATAAAATGTATTAACATCATTATAATTTTTATTGTAACTATTACTACTGTAACTACATCTACAGCTACAGTATTTGCTACATTGCCATCTCTTCAGCGCAACAAACAGAGGGCTGTAAGGTTTTAATAGGCTATAGATAATACAAAATCACTGGCATTTGCTCTCAGTCAGTACTAGTCCATTGTCTTGTCTCATCCTGTCAGATGGTTATATTTGCCGACTCAGTTTTCTTATCTTAGAGGGGGGAAAAAATCACAGAAAAACAGAAATAAGCTAAACACGTCAGCGAGTGTCACAGGATGTTTATGCAGATGTCAGAGCTTCCCAACAGGCCACTTTGTCATTTATGAAGTGCTCCAACTCAACAACCTTTGACTTTACAGTATCAGTTTTATGCAGTAGTGACTGACTCAGAGAAAAGATACAACTTCCAACTGGAGTTTCTTATGACTAAAATACTATCCTATGTCACTGGCAAAGTGGTTTTGTAATAGGCCTAACTGGTAGTAGTACTAGATAGTAATAGCTGTAGTAGATTAGTCACAGTAGAAGTAGGCTATTTGAAGCCGTAGTAATGGCAGTAGTAGATATAGCAGTTTAGCAGCAGTTGAAGTAATAATACAATGAATTTGATTATAAGGAGAAGAAAGTAAAAACACAACATCAGTATAATTTCTCAGTAATATGTACTAACAGAGGAGATGGAACTGGCAAGAATAGTGCTACTTTATAGTAGCTGTTGTGGTATTTTTTATTTCTACTTCAACACAAATCTAGTACAACTACAGATTATTTCTTCTACAGGTAACTCTTTAACAAGGGAAATAAAACATTCATGGACCCAATTGACATGTTTTATGGTAGCTGTTTGTGTAGAGTCTTTGTCTTTTGATGAAAACTTGGATGCTGCTCTGAGAACTGTTTGAGCTAATGGAAGAATAATAAGGAGTTACACATGTAATTCACTCTAGTAAAACAGAGACCGCCCCACTCTGACACAGAAAGCACACCAAAAGTGGGGTATAGAAACCTATTAAACACTTGTAGTTGGTAATGAAATTCTGAATTGGCCATAACATGAAGTTATTACATTTTAGGTGGTAGCCGAGCCAGTACATAAAGTGCCCTAGTACACAATGAAAGGTGAGTAAGTTGTGTATTTTTTATGAGATCTGCTGGAAATCTGACAGAATATGTAATACAAGAATACTAATAAGATATTTTGTACGGGTTGGCCAAAACAGAGAAAAGAACACACTTAGGCTAAATATGAAGAAAAAAAGCCTTTGTGCGCATAATTTGAAAATCTGGACTTGTAAAATTGTAAATGATATGCTTCTTGTGTACACATGAAAAATATATTCTACACAGTTACAGTAATCTCACAGGCCAGTACACCCAATACTTTACCAAGAAGTATGGTGAAAAACAATCATTGATTTTCAAAATATGCGTATTACAGTATTGACTGGTATGGTAGTATAGTGAACAATCTTAAGATTTGTGATTTGTGATGTTGTCTGTGTTAGCATGAAAGGTAATGCAAACACTGCTTTTATTCATGTAGGCATGATCAGGAACTTTAGTGCAAACCATAGCTAACTGACAAAAGATAAGACATTTCCCCCTTTTTGGAGGCCCTATCTTACTATATCAGAAAACTAAACACAAAATCCTTCCATGTGACTGATTAGATACATTCCAATACTTTAATTAAGTTTAAATTGTTTTTGCATTTATGCTGGATACCTTTTTGATCAAATCTGTTGGACTAAAGTGGCATTATGCTTTGTGTGATTTACGTCAAATTTGTCAAATTTGACACTTTTCACTCTGGTGTCTCGTAGGAGCAGAGGATGTCCAGAGCTGACTGGTCCTTCCTGGAGCACTTGCTGGAGGAGGGTCAGGAGTACTCAACAAGCATCGGGCGTGTGTGGTTAACAGTTCTGTTCCTCTTCCGTATGCTAGTCCTGGGAACTGCTGCAGAATCCGCCTGGGATGACGAGCAAGCCGACTTCGTTTGCAACACCCGCCAACCCGGCTGCACGGCAGTCTGTTACGATAAGGCCTTCCCCATTTCGCACTTTCGCTACTTCGTTCTCCAGGTGATCTTTGTCTCTGCACCCACCATCTTCTACTTTGGCTATGTGGCTATAAGGGCCAGAACTGACACGTCCAAAGACGATGGACAAGATGGTGGAGAGAGTGTCATTGAACTCAAAAGAAAAGACAATGAGGAAAAGGATAAAAGAGGAAAAAAATGTGATAAGGGACCTTTGGAGACCCCAAAGCTCAAGGGAAAGTTGTTGTGTGCGTACACATTTAGCATTCTACTCAAAGTCATCCTTGAAGCTGGATTCATTGTTGGCCTTTGGTTTCTCTATGATGGCTTTCTAATAGCAACTAAATTTGAATGCACAAGAGCACCATGCCCTCACACAGTGGACTGCTTTGTATCACGTCCTACTGAGAAATCTATCTTCACCGTATATACTCAGGTAATCGCTGTAATTTCTTTAATCCTCAATCTGGTGGAACTCTTTCATCTTCTCCAGATAGCTTTGATGCACAATCTGGAAAAACAATACCAGGCTGAGCAAACTGAGTGCCGTCCTCAACCCAGGCACCTTACAGCTCCACAAGAGGAGATAGAACTTCAAACTACTCCTACTCGCTCACATAGTGATATGCTGTCTTCACAAGGCGGCGCTACTGTTTACCAGAACTCTTGTGAGAGCTACACAGACTTTGGTATTGAGGTGAACTGGAGTCCTGAGGAAACTCCTGGAGATTTGCTTCCTAGTTATGTCAATTGCATGGGAGCAATGAGGACTAACCGTTCGCCACGGGTCAACTACAAGAAAAATTTAGACCATTCTGGGAAGCACAGTAAGGGTGCCCACAAGCATTATGTATGATGCACACAGTTGTGTTGTACAATATCCAATATTTGGAAAGCTGGGTCAATGTGTAAAATGCAAATGAAGCAGCACTATGAAACTTTTCTGTTGGAGGGTCTAGAGAACTTGGAATGTTCCACAATATGGGATTATACTTATTTTTGACTCCATGGTGACAAGCAAAGTTACAGATCAGATCTGGTGGAGTGGCAAACCTGCTCACAGTAACAAGGTTTTTCAAGGTATTTTTAAACAATCAGAACCCCTGTAATTGAAAAAAAAAAATCAAGATACATACAGTACATAATGCATATGTATTACTTGTCTAATTGTTAATTTTATTTTAATGGGGAGGGAAAAAATGTTTTGTTGTCAGTATTTTTATAAGTTAAATTGACTTATTTCACTGAAGAAAAAAAAAAAAAAAAAAAAAAAATGCATTCAAACAGCTTGGCCTTTCACTATTCTGTTTTAGTGTGCATTTTACACATTGGCCCAATTGAATCTCACATGGATATTTGATTTTGCTTCGGAACGTTCCACTTCACTTATAAATGGTGCACATGACACTGGAGGATCACCACAGGCCTGGAGCTCCAGAGAAAGGAGAAATGAAGAAAAAGCTGGATGCCCCACAGGCTGGCAGACATTCAGCGATGCCTTTAGTAGATAAATGGACCTATTCAAAGCTAACATTTTGAGAAGGCTCCCCAAGGCAAAGAATGGAATAAGCTTCAATGGGAGAAGATTGCAGTCCTAAGACGTTTTCATGTTACATTTAATGGCTTTTAGAGTTGAATGTGACAGCGGATAGATGTGTAGAGGGGAAGGCCTTTGAAGGTGCAGAGGATATTGGATTATGAAATAGTGGTGAGTTTTTTGTTGTGCTACTTTGCGACAGCATTTCACCTTAAATTATAATCGCCATGGGTAACAATACAAATCTTGATGAGGCTTTTTCCAGTTGATAAAATCGCAAAGTTCTGAATAACTTTTTTTGATTTTACTTGCCCCAACATGAACTATGAACTATGTATTGAGGACTATCTATTAGATGGCTGGGCAATAATTTACAGATTTTATTTGGTTTAATTAAACACAAATAAAAGGCTTTCGATTTCCAAAAAAATAAACATTAGATCACAAAACAAATGTCCAATTTAGCCTTAGCTCCAAAAACATGATTTTTACCTACAGAGGATTGGCTGTAGAGCTTGATTAAAAAGACCCAAGGATACAGTTTTTTATACAATTAAATGTTGAACTTGCTTAAAAATGGATAGATTGCACTTTTTCTTGATTTACTAGAGAAAGCCTGTGAACACATTCAACTTAATGTCATAGAATTACATTTATGCCAACCCTTGTGCAGACTTCTAATCTGATCTCCATGTTACCAGCAGTAAATAAGCTCGGACCTATTAGTGACTGCGTGTGGACAAATGACCACATCAAATGGCTTGGTCAATATTGTTGTTTTATTATTCCACACTGAACAGTCAGCCCCCGTGAGACTTGCACTGTAGTTTGAACCCCCCTCTTTCCCATGGTTCTTGTGTCCACAGAGGAATGTCCCAGTAGGCTCTGGACCCTGTCGTACTGTTTAATGAGTGCGTGCATGCATGCTCACTCACAATCACGTGTTTGCTTTCACCCAGAGAAATTAGGAACCAAGTGAGAAAAGCCATTGCATAATTTTCTTCAAAAGACAATGGAAATGAACCATGCAGTGTTAGATGGGCTTGATAAGGTACAACAGCTATAAACTATGCCTGTATTTAAGAAATATTTTTGTAAATAATCTATATTTATTGTCTTTAAAAAATGAATAAATGATTCATTTTTATGTAAGCATGTGTCCATATCTGATTTTCATCGCATAAAAGTTGTACGCCTTTCTCACACTCGTTTCACACAGTGAAATTTAAAGGTCCTATATTACACAGAATTGACTCTTTAAGCCATGTTATAATGTTGTTATTGCATCAGAAACATACCTGGAGTTGTGATTTGTTTCATTAACACAGTAATCCTTAATAATTAAGTCTATCTACATCTCCAAAGCTCAAAATGCTCTGTTCCATCTTGTGATGTCATGGAGCAGTAGTTTTCAACTTAACAGTTCCTTTTACCTTTTGTCTAGCAGAGACTGGCAATTCTAGGGCTGAAATCCAAATGAACGAATCCATATAAATGATTCTACTGAAGTTTAAAAACATAGTGGAGACCCTCCAGGATGCAGGATTGATGTTAAACATGTGTGAATGAAACAAAAAACAACTCTAAGTATGTTTTTGATGAAGAAAAATCATTATAACAGATCAGAAAATAGTGATATGGACCCTTTAAGTGAAATCAAAACAAATGAGGTAGTGGAAAAGGGAAAACTTCTTATTTTTTAATATCAGCTCTATGGTAAACTGTAGTATTATCGAAGGTTCAAACAAAGTCATGTCTGTTGCATGCAGTAGTTTGTAAAAAAAAAGGTTTTTGGTTTGCTGTCAAGTTGTATCCCACTTTACATTGTTCTCTAATACTGTCACTCTACTGAGGCACTGAATCACTCACGAGTATAATGGGTTTGGGAACAGCAGGGATACAGAGGGGTGCACCAGTGAGCCTCATGTTAACAACCTGGTAAGCGGAAAAAATCAAGGAATGGAACTGATCCATTTAAAAGCTGTTTACACATGTGTTTTGATTGTAAAGTTTAGAGTGATCTAGTATTTGTCTGTACAAGTTCAAACAAGGTGAATTAGGCCAACATTTCAAGTTGGCACTACATAAATCATCTGATCTGGTTTGTGGAGTGCCCGTGATAGAAGCCAGAATATAATACCACCAACTGAGACATTTTCAAAGTCCTCTTTGTGAAAAAACAAAACAAAAACGTAAATCTATTGTTGCAAGTTTACTAAACAAGCTCTGTAGTTACCAGTTAGTTACATAGTTCTATGTTAAAAAGGTGGTTAATGAGAAGCATGGCAACAATGAAATATTTGTATAATATGCCCTATTAGATGTTTTTTAGTTAGATTTTACCCTAGTTTTGTTCTGGGCCACCTGTAGTGTTAAGGAGAAATTGGCTAACAGTGATGAAAGAATAATTTGGCAGGAACTGCACTTTATAAGCGCACACACTTGCCTGTTTTGTATTGTAGATTGTGTGCTGACAGTCGGAGTGGGTGGGGTCCCAAAACTGGACCTCTGGTGCCCATGTGATAGCAAGTGTGTGTTTTCTCAAGCAGGGAGGTCATGGAACACCAAGTCTTAACCAAACTCAGTGCCCTTTGCTATAACATTCTGACAATTTTGGAACAGGATGACAGTACTGTTGTTGCTTCAGTGAGGTTTTTGCCTGGCAGTTTTTTTTTGTTAGTTTTTTGTGCTTAATTTTAATACTACATTTGATAATTCAAAGTTGAATTTTCTTTGGTGGCAACTTTACTTGTACCACTTTATAAAAACTCAATACAGCAAACAGAATTATATAAGTTATATATAATTTGTAGGCTATACCATGTATGGAGGAGACACGCATACAACTGCAAACAACATCACAGCCATTTTCCTGGCATTGTTGAGGTCACTGCTGATGCATTTCCTAATTCTGTTGGTGATGTGGTATATACTAAAGCAGCATGGTACTGATTACACACAGCAATAGGCCTTAGTGTTATAAATACACTCATCTGAATATGTCAGAGATCTCACTGTTGACATTATGTCTACATAATGTGATTGCTGTACATTGTAGATCCAAATCGACCATGAAAAATGATGTCGGCATATTTTTTTTACTTTAATGTTTCATGTAGTAAAGGTAAATGTAGCAGGCCCATAGTTGTAGTAGCACATATTCTACTAATTCTTATATTTGCTGCTGTTGAAACATGTAGCATGTGTTGAGCAGATATGGCAATGAATGCCTTTCTGTCACTTTAGAGCAAAAACCAGGCAAACAGCATCACTGGGAAAGTCATTTATCAGATCTGATATCACTTCAAAGCACACAGCAATGTACAAGATTGTGCACTTTAAATTAGGACATAGTTGGAAACCCTACATCATTTTTACAATGGAACTGTCTCTCCCAGCTTATAGTGCCATTATTTCCATCATCATTATTATTATCTGCACAATGCCGACACACGACTCAGTCTGAAACCAAAACACTGTCATAATGGGCACCCAGTATTTGATTTGGTTTCTTTGTGCTGGTGAATAACACAATGCTTCGAGTAGCCTCTAAATATAATCATTGGACAGGAAGTGGGTCTGTATCTGCTTCCTCTTTCAGTATTGTGCTCTCTGGGGAATAGTCACTTGGGATTGTTAACTGACAATGAGGCTGCGGTGGGCTTTGTTACATTGTTGGTGCCTACTCCCTCGTGGCACTGAGCCTGATATCAGATTAATGACAGATGAGGGAATAGACAAAGATAGACCAGTGAAGAGAACTTAAGAGCCATGGTTCAAGGGTTGATTGGATAAATATACACTTAGAACACAACATAATCATTGAGATAAAAAACACAAATAGGTGAAAATAAACACTGGATCACAAGTACTACCAAGGCACCATTTTTAACTGAAAACAAAAGAATACATAAATCCAAGATGGTGGAGTCCATAAGCTTTAAAATTTAGTAATTGACTGATTGTTTTTTAATTTGAGTTTGTGCCAAGAGAGAAACAGTAATCATGTATACTACATATACATTTTAAACAACAGAACATTCCTCAAAAAGGATTCATTTACTATGTAACTTTTCTGGTGGTACACAACCTCCTCGTCTCCAAGGAGATGTCATTGCCTTTGCCTTGAATGTTTCACAGATTTTAAACTAAACTATCTTGCATTCATACAATTATGAGTGTGTGTATTACTCAAAAACATCTGAAAAAACAAGCATACTTTTTGTAAGTGCAAGCGGAGTTACTTTCCCACAGATCTGACCTGTTAACTATGGCATTTGCTTGTTGCCCAGGGGAAAGATAAATAGGTGGCAGACCCTCTTCTAGAAAAGTTTCACTTAAACCTATCCTTGGTGATATGATGTACAGGAAGTGCTATATGGAATAATTGTAGCGCAGGGATTTGTAAAGGAAGAGGATGCTATCACTTGAGGCAATCTGAGAAAACAAATGGACAAAGGAAAGCATTAGGACCATTGCAGGAAAAGAACATAAAGAAAGGTTGTGTCAACAAAACTTGCCCTGAACTCAGCATTAAAGCCTTACATTTATAGAAAGATACATTCTGAATTGTCTGAACTGAGCCCCATTGTGTGAAACTAAATTAACATATATCTGTTTGTATTTCTTCCCAAATTTGTCTAACACACCAAATATTATGAGAACCAATATTAGGGTTTGAACACAAATATATATTTCTCAAAATGATAAAATATTTTGTTGAAGCTGTAGCAGCATTTTTATTTTTTTTTTTTAAATCTCACTCACTCCATCAACATAGCTTAGTTAGTTCCAAACATTTACTAAGAAATTAGAGATCAAGTACTTTTTGGATGAATTATCAGTCATAAATGACTTTTACTTGAGTAAATATAAAGTAAAATGTACAGCAAGTACAGTAGTAGCTACTTGAACTATTTCTAATTAAGCCATTTTAAGTCATATTGTAAGGGAAATTGATTTATTAGTGCTATGCCATGTTAAAACTTAGGGAATGTGGCATAATAAATTCTTTTTATGTGAAGGCATGTCTAGAATTTACTTCATTAGATGTCACTCAGTTAAAAATCTAAAGCCTTTATTCAGTATTTCTAGTTAAGCTATTTGTATAATAAGGCAAGCTTTATCAAAGCTGTGTAAAGGTAGTTGAAACTATAATTATTACATTTTATTATGGGATAGCATATCTAAAATATACTGGCCTTTTAATTTTTGCCTAATCTTTTGCCACCAATCTGACTGAGTCTGACGCCACTCAGACGACTCAGGATGTTGATGTGGACCCTTTAAAAGTCTGAGCATCAGCCACGCCCGACATTTGAACATCATCTACAAAAACAATGGCTCACCTCACAACATCCCTGTTCCTTTCCCAGGAGCCTCTCTGCCTGGTTCCCACACTGCTATCCAGATCTGACCAGTCAGACCTGGGCCATTGTTCAAAGGATGGCCTGTCCTGTTTGAGCTCTCAGGAGGGACACACACATAAACCTGTTACATTCTCAAGTCTATGTTGAATGGTGTTGGTGTAAGGAGTTCATTGCAATTAGTTAAATTGTAGTTATAATTTTATAATTGCCCATAATGTATATTGTTAAAATGGCAGTACTATTCTCTACCATTATTTGTATGTAGTTATTATTACTACCTGAAACCCAAAGAATGATTTTTCAGCAGCTTTAATTGGTAGTGGTATACAAGAATAAGCATTATCATCCCTCAAGGTAAACTCTTCTAAAAAGTACCTACATTGCATTTTTGACATCAGAGAGTATTCATAGGTTTCAGGCAAATTATTCCTATATTAGAATATTTTCCCATTGAAAATAAATTACATTTTGAAAAACCATGAATATATGCCTGGGAAATATCTTTACACATGTCAATGATCAATCAAAGTTAATTTATCCCACCTTTTCAGGGAAGCATGATAACCTTTAAACAAAAGCGCATCTCTCATTGCCAAAACAAGTCTCTGTGGTCAAAGAGTTCAAGTGTAATGACTGACTCATTAATAACTGTACTGTATGTTTCATTATTAAAGGCTTCCTGAAAAGACACTTCTTCCTTCCTAAAATTCCAGCCCAGCTTGGCACCAAATCAAACAGAGAAATTAAGTAGTGTTTCAGCAAATGGTGTTTTATGGTTGTCACAATTCTTAAATACTATAATGTGCAATACCATGCTTTGTACAATAAAAGTAGCCTGTCAATCTAAGACAATGGCATTAAGGAGATTAAACTTCCTGAGACCTCCCACACTGAGGCCGTATTAGTTCACATTCCAGGAGCAGGAGTTAACATTGAGATAAAAGAACAAGAACAAAGCCCTGTCAAACAGGCTTTACTTTCATGTCCACGATCATGTGCGAACAATACCAAGTACACTGAAATGAAAGGAAACATATGACTGGTATGAAACATGGAAATCCTCACATGCCATAGTCATGTAAAAGACACAACATGTTCATATTTTAGGAGTCAAAGCACAGAGTGAAAAATGAAAAGGCCATTAAATAAGGTCTGCATGGCCATTTATAATCAAAATTTAAAGTTCTGCAATACATAAATTTGTTGCGTTGTACTGCAGGACACTATATATACAAACTTTCAATGCAATATTTGAATCTTTGGCATATATAAAGCTGGGCGACACTCTCCTAGAACAATAACAGTTTCTCAAGGTCCAGGTTTTAAGATGATCCTGAAAACTAAATTTGAATGTGTTCAACAATCTGTAAATATGAAGTTTAACTATCGATTTGAAGCATATTGACAAAATTATATTAAAACAGTACGAAAGCCACAAACCACAGTGAACACCTAATTCAGGAGCACAAGTTCTGACTGCTAATTCACTGTCCTATAGCTCATAAAGTCAAGATGGAAACGTGGTCCATTCAGTCTTTGTCCATCATCAGTGTAACACCTCAGCGTCCAGTAGCCTGTACCAGAATCCAAGTTCGGGGGGTTAGCTCTCCTCTGATCGGTTTCTGTTTAAAGCCGCTTTTGGTGTAAACTCTAGTTTCTCCTTTAGGCTCAGTACTTGGGTGCTGTCTTTACCGAGTTGCTCTTGCAGCTTCCTCTCTTCTCTCAGCTCTAGAATGCCCCTCTCCTCTCGAGGTTTAGGTGGTCCCGTGAGAAACCACTCTAGATGGTAGCCCACTGCTCCAACAACAAAAGCTACTGGGAAAGTGACATATGGGGCATAAGTCCGCATCGCTGTCCACAACACTGGCCACATGTCTGTGCACTCAGATCCTGCCTGGCCAATGCTGCTTTGAAGAAAGATTTGACACCTGGAGAAATACGGGATCATAGATTATTATGGTACACATCAACACTATTATATTATACTATTGTATTACAATATTAGTTGACTCTTAAAAACTGGTGTTTAGAGGCTTCCAATTAAGATCAGTGAACACTAACAGAGATTTACTAGCTTAGTTGTGTAACTTAATTAGTGTGGGTGTTGTAACATGGTACTAATGATTAACGTTAAATCCAACATATTCCAAGTTATACAGCAGCTGGTGCCAAAAGCAGTACTAGCAGATATTATCAATTTACCACAGCATCTAAGCATTCGATATTAACTATGCAAGTTACAATCTTTATGTCCAAAGCATTTCAAAGTCATTTCCAGTCCTTGAGATAGAAGTCAATATGAGGGCAAAGGCATTTCTCAACGCAGTATCATGCAATACACTAGCCCTATCGACGTTACAATAAACACACTGACAATCATTATTATTATCTGACTTTTAATTCCAGTATTATTCATAATTCTCCTCACCTTTACCGCTAGCACGTTGACAGCAGCTTGCGGCACGACGTGACTTCCGGTTAATCTTTTCGGTGATTGGTTTAAGCAAGTCCTTCTGCTGTCAGGACATTCTCCTCTTTGTTTATACTACCATCTGGTGGCTAAACCTTCAGGAGTAAAACACACTTTGACAGTACTCGAAACATAGATATATATGATTTATTGTCCATATTACAAAAATAATGTAGCTACATGATTACAAAAAGCATTAGTTTAATGTTGGCAACAGATAAATGTTAGAAAAGCATGGCCTTTTAATTTGTATTCGGCATATGAGCTATCCATTTGTTAATAATATAATATATTGTTTATATATAGTCATATATGTAAATGAGGCTGGCTGCTGCTTGAACTGATTAAGATATTGTCCATATGCGTAGCTTTGTTTTATGAACATGTAACAAAACAAATATAGAAAATTCAAGTATGAAAGAGAAGAACCGAATGCAAATATTTCAAAGGTAAGGCATATTGCGTAGAACCTTAAGAGCCAAACTATTCCCACAATTCACTAGAGATGTGGGTAAACTAGTATTACATTAGAAATCATACAGGTAATTAAAGAAATTATAATGACAAAGCATAATCATACAAAGGAATGTCAACTAGAGCTTTGTTCCCCAACCAAGGGTAAGAGAGAACTTACCGGGGGTACTTGGAATGATTTCAGAATTTAAAAGAAAATGAATATTATTTGAATGTAACATTCTACATTAAAGCCATTTTTACATTCTTAAGAATGTTTTGAAGGATTGTGGACATCCATATTTCTATTTAAAACAAACAAACAAACAGTATTAAATAATGAATTAATCACTTGCCCTAGTGCATAAGTTGAGGGGTACTAGGGGTGTGAGAGGCACTGCTAAAAAAGTACTTAAAACAAAAACCACTGAACTAGTGAATGTAAAACAGAATGGTCTTGTGACCTCATTTGGCATCCTGGAATAAGAAATGTGCAAATTCTAAAATGTAATGGCAATCATGTATTTTACCTAGAGCATCAAGTAATGTCACTCACAGCAAATATCGCTGTGACTGTAAACTTTGAGCTTCAGGAATGATCACATGAGCCTGATAATGGCACTACTTAAGAAGTCCTCATAGTTCATGCGGATGTTGCCAGAGCGGTTTGTGTCTCTCTCCCTGAAGACATCGGTCATGCTCTGGAGCTGGGTGCACACCTGAATGAAACGGTCCAGCTGAATCCCGGGCCGCATACCACGAACACTGAACCGCCGCACCAGCGTCTCTGCAAATTGTGCACTCAGGTTGTAGCCCATCTGTGCAAGAGCTGGGGAAAAAAAATACATTAAAAATAATATTTAAAAAAAACAACACATATTTGGAAGCAATATGGTTAGTTTGCTAAATTTCAATTCATTAGTCATACTGTAATCCGAGAAATACTGTAACATTAGAAAAATACAAATATCAGTGAAGCTGTACACATTTTGTTAATTATCTTGTCACTATATTGTGTTTTGTCTGTACTCCAGTTGCCTAAAAGTGAGATGATTGGGACAGTGCTTCTTAAAAAGATGCACTATGTCACTTAGAGGTTCTGCCACATGCTCATATCCATGTAAATGTCATTGCTTTGCCTAGATTGTTTTAGTATGGCATTAAACTTATCCCTCGCCTAGGAGACAACCAGGTGGCCCCACCAGAACACATTACAGGTCAGTTTTGTAGAGAGGCGAACCTCTTTACACTAAGAATGCATGCTTTTCAAGCATTTTTTTGAGAATAAAAACATCTATAATTGAATAAATGCAAAATACAAATTTTTTTATGCCATACTGCCATTCTAGGCAGAATAATAACATCTCTGTGGCCAAGTGGTGGACCTTTCACCAGAAAAGTTACCTTAATAATAATATATAATATATAACATATAATATATTATATGTTATATATTGTATATTATATATTGTATATTATATATTATATATGGTATATTATATATGACATATAACAAGTTTTTTTTTAAATTTGGCTCTAATACCTTGATGTAGCTCTGTTCCACTGATACACCCAGACCGGTCCCTGTCATACTGCTGAAACAGCGCCCTCCATCGCTGCATGAAGTCCCACAGAGCAGAGAAGCCAAACATGTCGATGCGTCCAGTTTTTGTCTTGTCAAACATGTCTGAAAAATTAATGAATAAAAATATATTCAACAAATGTTAAAGCCCGTCTGCTCCCATTTAAAACATACATGTGTTTGTGCTGTCCATGTCATCCAAGGGCCTTGGATGTTTCTTTCTGTCTTCTGTCTGTCATTTTGGTATTTAGTCTCCAGCCTAATAGACATATGCTTGTTGATAACAACATGCCTTGTTTGTACTGTGATGTAAATCTTTGGTTTAATCTAATGGCCCAAGTCAGTTGGAGTTGCCATTACTGAAACATTAGTCACTGTCTGATGGACTGGAATGGCAGGGTAATTGCACAACTAACCCACAGCTCAACATGCATAAGTCAGACTAACATAACTGCCTCTCAATGGCAAACAAAAAGTAGATTATATGTTAGTTATTCTAATGTACCATATGAAGCAACAGACATATTATGAAAAAAATTGTATTATAGTGTTTATATTTTATTATGTCGCAGAAAAAATACTTGAAGTGGAGAACACCTGATCACCCAACACTTCATCTGCGGCAATTTGGAAATCAGTTCTTCTGGGGAAACCCACAAGGTTGCACAAGAGTCATGACAGAAATCTAATTTTCACAACAGCAGCTATCCTAAAGTTTTATTATAAGAAATGGATACATGTATTTTTTCTATAACAAAGCAACAACATGTTACATTTTTAATATAAGCATACTTTTGCTCATTACTACGTGTTTCTGGTGCAAAGTGTGTAATCTATACATAAATAAAAGAAGAATATGCTACAATAGCTTATAACTTACTGATCATCATTAGGCAGGTTTCATCATTGAAGGCAGACCAGTTGGAGTTGACCAGTGCCTGCTTCAGTTCCTTCATGTTGATGTAGCCACTGCGGTCTGAGTCGACGCTCAGAAACCATTGGTATGCCTCATGGTTTACGCCAGGGGGCACATTACCTGTGAGAAGGAATATATTAGTAGAAAGACATGACACATATTTCATTTAATATCCCAAGTAATTTCAAGCATAGCATTAGAAAACTAAATTTAATGAAATTGAGCTCCTCCAAGGAGGTTTTGAAATATCTTAGAAGAACAGAATATATAAAAATGTCAAGAGTAAAATGTTTGGAATGTAAAAAATAACAATAATACTACAATACAATAAATAATAAAATGACAGTGAGGACTAATTACGAGAAGGTCTGACGGCTGAAGGAGTTTAAACACGGTCAGCCAGAAAATCCACAAAGTAATACATATTTCTTTGAGTTAGTATTTTGCCTTTAGAGCTTAGAAAGTGCTGAGACAAATCAATCCCACAACACTGTAAAAATAACATGTCCAGTACCTTTGACCTCATGGACAGAGGCCTGAAGTATGTCACCAGTGAATACATCAACAAGAAAATGAAAGCAACTATTGGACTTTTCACAGCTAAGAAATGTAGCTAGCAAATGGAGTGAGAGTGAGTGATGGAGGAATACTACGACTTGTGACTTGCAGTTCCTGACAGATGACTCACATTATGATTCCAAATATACAAAACACAGGCCTATTTATTAATTGTGCATAATATTTATGGGTAAATATATAGTTTTCTTTCATAGCCCATTTATTATTTAATAGGCAGCAGGGATCTTAATTTTAACAGAGATTATATATGAAACAAATCAAATTATAATAGTAGCCTAACTAATAATTAGAAATGAAATTAGAAGTGTCAATCAAGTTCAGTGTCCCCTAGTCTGTGCAGTTACCTTGTGGAGCATGGTGCCCATAATGTCCCCCGTGAGGCTGTCCTCCATACCCACTGTAGGGTCCACCGGGGGCAGCGTGAGGTCCCTGTCCGTAAGCAGCTCCTTGTCCCGGAACACCGTACCCTCCACCGTAGGGCGCCCCAGGTGGTTGTGCACCACCTCCATAAGGGGCATGAGGCGGCGGGGTCGCATAGGGACCACTGCCTCTGCCGTACGGAGCGCCAGGCGGGTTATTGCCTCCGGGATAACCCTTGGATAACGTGGAAAAAAGGATGAATAGGAAATACACCCAAAGCCGGGTAATCAATTGAAGTCAACAACTAAGTAAGTTTCACTGCAGGATCTTTGTTAAAAGCTATTCAATACCACCAGTTCAGAAATGAAAACAAACAATTTTCTTTCAAAACGATGTTTTACTGCGACTACCCACAAATGACTGCGCACAATTTAGCATCATTAGCACACGGACTCTTTACTCTGACAAAATTGACACCCGTAAGAAGATCGCCCTTCTTAATCAGGGAGAAAACAATGATAAACGTACAATACCTGTCCGTAATGAAAACTCATATTAGTCGATATAAACTTTGTAAACGAAGGTGTAAACCCATGCGTAAAACGCAGTACCACTGCGCTAAAAGTTATTGGTGCATTTCCGGGTCCGTCAAAAGCCGCACCCTCCGCGCTCGCTCCTGATTGGACAGGACAGTTGAAAAGCCATGACGATGAATGCAGAGGTTTCATGTCAAGCTGATGGAAAGGTAAATATTTCCTACACAAAACTTACCTACGTTTCATTCATGCAGGTTGAAAGGACTACAAAGAGCAGTAGAGCACAGACTCGTTTGTCACAATTCTCTTGTGCAGCAGTTTTATTTGGCACCATATACATTTTCCACACCTGTATTGACATCAGACAGCCTACGAAGAGACACACAGTTTGCATAAAAATTGCTAGGGCTTGCTCTATGCTAAGTGCTAAGTAAAGGATCTACGACAAGTGCATTTGTTTTACAAAAAAAATAAAAACAAATTTAAATACAAAATTCTTTGTAAGCTACACTAGCAAATTCGTGCACATAAGGAAACCTTCCCATACATGAATATAAATATAAAATTACATATTAAATACAACATTTATTTCAAAAGTACCTGAAACATCAATTCCTGCCACAGACAGGAACACTGAGCATTTGCTTGTATAAGTGCAGCATAAGTCATGTGCATTAGTCTTTCTGTGTATTTTTCAGATTTGCAGTCTGTTCCTCGATATTATTAAGGGTGTGAATGGACACAGTTGGATCCACTCGTTGGATTGAAGTTTTGGACATAAACTCAGACTTGGGAGGTGCCAGTGGTTTCAACTCGTGGTTTTCAGCAAACAGCTTTGCCTCTGCCTCTTGCTTCCTCTTAATTAACTTCACAATACGTTTGAAGATCAGGTAAACCATCTCACAAATGCACATAAAGATACAGATAGCAGAGGACACCACCATAAATAGAGTGAAGATCTTCTTTTCAGTGGGCCGGGAGATGAAGCAGTCCACAGTGTTGGGACACGGATCCAGCGAGCACTTAGACAGGCGTGGCATGTCGTAGCCCTCATAAATGTGGTAGAGTATGTAGAGGAAGCCAGCGTCAAAGCCCGCTTTGAACACCAGGCTTACCTGTGGTAACAGAAAGAGAGAAGAAAGAGTATAGTTCAGCTATTTTATCCATGCATTCACTCTTACCAACTGGAATAGTCAGAAAAGTAAATTGTTTTCTTCAACAAAGTAGTTTGTGATGTTAAGTGTGTTTTATCTGTTTTATCTTGGTGTTAATGACCTTGGGGGTCACAAACCTGGTGGACAGTGTCATTTGGTGCTGGTCACAAAATTGGATGCATGAATAGGGTTGCAGAAGAAGTGTATCTAACATGAAACCCTACGCAAATGAATCTGTAAGTATACCCATAGTTTGTTATCATAACCTATGAAAGTACTTGGGAAAATTATATACTTTTTAACTGAGTTATGTTTCATGTCTCACCACGAGGAATGCAATGTCAGTTCAATGTACCAATATATCAATCACTACTCTAGGAACAGTAGTATTTACTCCTAACCAGATAGGTCCACCACAGCCCTCCTCGTTTCTTCCCAGGGTTTGCATACAGATGTCCTCCTTTGTGTGACTGTGTATACTGCATGTCCTTCTTCTCCCTGTATTTCACATGTCCCACCACCAGTAGGGACGGGCAGGTGACGAAGATGAGCTGCAGAGCCCACAGGCGGATGTGGGAGATGGGGAAGATGTGGTCATAGCACACGTTGTTACACCCAGGCTGTGCAGTATTACACACAAAGTCTTTGCTCTCATCCCCCCATACCCTCTGAGCCGCTACCACAAACACCATCACTCTGAAGACGAAAACCATAGACAGCCACACTCGCCCAAAGACTGTGGAGTACTTGTTGACCCCACTGATGAGGGCCTCCAATGCAGACCAGTTCATTACTGTAGAGGTTTATAGAGCCAGAGAAGGGACAGGAGGAGGCCACGTGCCAGTGGAGTGACGGTGTCTCTATAGGAGCAGAAAAAAAGTTTAGTACAGATTTAAAACTTGTATTATTTGAGAAAAATCATACCATGTTATAGTTTTTGATATTTATTTTTTTCAGTGTTGTTTTTCAATATCATAATCATAATATCATAAAATCGTAATCTAATAATATAACTGTAGAATTTTATAGAAGCAGACGAGGGGAGAGAGAATGGCCAAGTGTGAGTAGACTGATGATGTCCACGTAAGAGTAGGGAAAAAAAAAAAAGGTTAGCAGAGATTTAAAACTTGTATTATTTGAGAAAAATCATACCATTTGGAAATATTTTTTTTTTCAATATATTTTTTTTCAATATCACAAAAAACAGGGCTCAAGTGCTTCAGAAGCAAAAAGAAAAGAAAAATACAGAGAGGTAGAAAAGTGACTGTGGCATGGGTACACTTCTATTCAAATTTTGTTTCTTCAAGGTGAGAAAGAAATGGATTCCAAATGTTTGAAAATAGTGTTCATTGAGCGGGTCTGTAGTTTTTCCATGACAGCATATCATTGACCCACACTTTGAAGGATGCAGAAGAGGATTAATTTGTGTAGTTTTTATTATATAAAAGTTGCCTTCAATACAGATAACATTTGTCTCCAGTTACATTTAGAGCTAATTCTACTTTTCTTATTATTACTAAGGACAGCTACAGTACCCTCTCTGCAGTACTGTTGGCAAGTACTACATTACTGCAACTGCTGCTTATACATTCAGGTCCCTCTATATGCAATATGCTTATTTTAGCACATTCTTAGTAAGGGAACCTTTTACTTTGAGGCTACAGCAACCTGTTTTTCCACACCCCAGAGTCTGAAACTCCTCTATCACTAACCATCTGCAGATTTTAAATGCATTTTGAGCATATTTTAATCTCCATAATATTTCTTCTTTTGTATTTGCCACCGGTTCAACCCATTTCCATATCCTTTGGAAGAGTGATTCATCCGAGTGACTCATTACTTGACCCTCCTTTTCAAACTCTCTGTGTTATTAGAGACATGTACTACACACAGACACAAGTTCCATTAGCATAAAGAATCTATAGAGGTGCATCAGGATCTCCATGGTGATCTGAAATACATAATTATATAATGTGCCCATCATGATTAAGTACTTCAAATGTTATCTTGTTTATTACTGGGTTGTCATCTCAGTTTTACTTTTAAGCCAAGGTGGAAGAAAAAAATACATATGTGCAGGGACTTTACAGTGATGTTCTGAAATAAAGTCTAAGTAGTACATACAAATTTGCATCCTTAAGACGGTATTGTATATATTTTTATTTACTGTAACATCTAACTGTCCTATCATTATCACTAGGCTATAGGACTGTAGGTCTTTAATTGTTTAGTCGATGAATCTGTTGAATCTGTTAGTCAACCTAAATTTATGTTAGTTGACTTTTTTTTTTATTTTATTTAGAGTATAAGGATGTTTGACAAAAGCAGAAAAGAGAGGGCCATGAGATTGATGAGTAAATGAGCTAAAGATTTTGTATTTTTGAGCATTTATACGTAAAAATAATTACTCAGAAGTTTAATCTTCATATAAATATATTGTTTCCTAGTATGTTTAAAAGCGTTTATGATGCAGGTGTAGTCCTTGTGAGTGCAGTTTGGGTCAAATACATAGAGATACATAGTAATTTTGAGAGCTTTTGCCACGCTCTCTTTTTAGTCGATGAATCAATCGGCAGGAGATGTATTTAGCTGGAATCTCTTTAGTTGACTACACCCCTACAGGGCTACTTCATGCTTTCAGATTTGTTCATAATATGTACAATTAAAATGATATGGTATAATTATTGCTGGGTTTCAGATGACAACGGAACATTCTGTAGACTAATATGATTAAATACAGATGGGGCACAGCTAAAATTAATACTTTTGAAGTGCTGAATTTTGTTGTAATAAAGTGAGTTCTTGGGTTGCCAGCGTGCTTTTCTCTATATTTTTTTACATTTAAATCTGACTTGATTTCAAGCTTCTACCCCATGTGCTCAGGATCTGGAGAGACATTGATTGTCAGTGCTACAATAAGGGTCTTTGGCATCTCTGACAAATGACAGATGTAATATAGGCATAGGGAGGGTCCTCCATTGTGTGGGTTAATATTTCCCCAGTCCCCACAACTACACAGTATTAAACATATTCTGAAATGCGCTCAGCCTGTCAGGAGAATATAACAGCCACATGCCCACTGTTCCATTTCGCTCTTGTCTTGTCTAATCCCCGTATTTACATTTCCTTCAACATTTCAGCTTGAGTCCCAACATATTGAGCTGTCACATATATTGTTTGATTTTTATTTTTATTTTTTTACTTTCTACCTACCTCAGAGTAAAAGATTTTTTTAATGCTCTTTGTATCACTGAACCAGACGTTTATTGATATAACATTTTTCAAATCAATATTTTTATTTTTGTAAGACTAGCAAGCTTTGGAATTGACATGATTTCTTATTCCGTTTATGGCAGTGATAAAAGTACAATGCTGACAGCAGTGGGAGTAGTAGTAGTAGCAGTAACAGTAGTAGTAGTGGTAGCAGCAGTGACAAAAGCAGCATTACCAGTAGCACTTGAAGTTGAGATGCTTTTTGCTATGTATTGTGGGTACTTTACACATATTCTCACACATGAACCAAGTCAGTGCAAATACAGACATTTAAGTGACAAGCTAAAGACAAACACTACTACAAGAATGTGTAAGCGAAACCTTTATCACCTCAGTCTGTGGATTGTAACAAGAGACGAGGCATATCAGGTTTTCCCAACCTCACTGCGTAATACTTCCAGAATGCCCTGTGTGTTTGACTGTTGCCATAATCAAATATAAGCACATAAATAGGGAAGAAAACCTTATGTTTTTCCCATGCACAATACAGTTACCAAGAAATACTAATATCTAATTGATCATTGATAAAAAATGCACATTTATATGATCATTATTAGATCATTGTGATTGTGTTAGCGTATTGTAATTGTAAGGGATATTTTTTGTTTTACTTTAACAGTACTGTAGCGACCAAAACTTCTGAAACTACTAGTGGCTTTCTTCTGAAAGGCTGCCACAGTGGAAATAAAGAATGGATTGAGTATAGTGGAAAAAAGTATGCCTGCCCATCCCATGCTATCATTTCATGAACATTTCATGATGGCATGGGATGGGAAGGCATACCATGCTACCATTTCATGAACTAGAACTCTAATTTTCACATATTTTTTCAAATCCCATAATCTGATTCCCGTCCTGTCTTCCATTATGTGACTATGTACTCAGCTGTTCTTGTTGACATGTGTGTAACCATCCCACCACAACATGCTCAACAGGTTTTGCTTGGCAATGAAGGTGCGGTTGTGCTTCACATAAGTGTAGACTTTGATCTATTCTCATATCTTTTAGCAAATAGAGCATGGGATCTAATTTCAGAACCTGTTACCATGGTAATCCGCCATGTTTGAAGCAACAATGCAAAACACCAATAGAGATGCATTAGCCAAAATTGTGTAAAAAAAGTAAACATAACCTGTACCTGTAACCTGTAAATACATTTATCATTATAGTGTCAGAATACTTTTGAGTAAACACTATGTGTAGTATTATTTAGCATTGGTTTAACGTTAGGCTACCTGAAAATTCTATGACGAGCTTGTTTGGTCACGCAATCTATAATCAATTTAATAACAATTAATATTGATTTATTTATTTATTTAATCAATACTTATTACTCAGTTAAGTTCTATTTCTATGACTTCTACTGTTACTCTGTGCATTGCAACTTTCACAAACAATAATGAAGACAGAGAGTAAAAAGTTGGCATTTTTGCCCTGTAACATTTTTAGGTTGTTTATAGTTACTTGAAAGAATAGTGCTAAATGATCTTACCTCAGAGCAGTGTGGATGGGGTTGTCCTGGTCGGCATTGTATGGAAAACTGAGCCAGTTCGTGTCACCTGTCTGCTCTTAGCCCGCTGTCTTTGAGGTGTGGAGCTGCTTAAACATTAGAGATGTGAAAAGGGTGGGGCTACTGGTATTTCCAACATGTTAACCTGTGAATGGAAAGAAAAGAGAAACTATGATAGGTTTCATTATTATGTGGGGTAAAATAGTTTGTAATAATAGATTGGTAAAATGAAGATGTAGGAGACGGGACCAACCCAAATGCAAAATAGCACAAGTCATGCAAATATTGATAGGTTGGCACTATACTAGATTATGCTTACTATAACTACCACTAACTAACTACTATTAATGGTAAAATGTATTATATAACACAGCAATGTGGAAATCAAAACCTCATACCAAACACAAACTGTTTTTTGTAGTGTCACACTCCTCCATGGTAGTGCCTTTGTTGCAAATAGCAAATGTCAAAATCTCAGATTTTTCTGACAAACACAGCAATTGCAATAGAATTGGATTTGTTACAATTGAAAGTAATAATTTTAAACATATTCAGGGGCATCACAATTTCAGCATAGTCTAAAATATTAACTACTAAGCTAATAGACTCCCATGCATTTCTGAACAAGTTTATAAAGGCCTACAGGTCTAATTATGCAGTAGTTTTTGTGATTTAGATTTAGATTTGTGATGCATGTTGTTGTTCATCTGTGTCAAACCTATTTACAAGAAGCCAGTATGATGTTAAGAAACAGAATGTAGATGGAATGTAGATGTGGTTAGCGCGCCTGTGGCATTAACGGAAGCATAATTATTATAAAGTGGCACAAATGCCTGTCATATAATGAATCGCTTAACGTGTTCATTGGTGTTTTTATTTATTGCTGTAACTGTGGTTATAGTAGTAAATGGAAGTAGCGCTAGTCTTTTTTTTACAATATTGCAGTGATGGTGCAGTGTTGTGTTTGGTCATCAAAGGTTAGCATTTGTACCACTTAGATACAGTCTGCTGTTGTGTCTCTGGGCAAGACACTTCTCTTCACTCATTTTATGTTGCAGAGAGTGACAAGAAGGTGCATCTGTTTCCGTGATAGTGACATTGACGCAGGATTTGTCCTCACATGAAACTAGTTATGTCATTATGTGAGATAATATGTCACAAACAGACAGTTCAGTGTTTTCTTGAGGGTTGTTCCCAAGTAGCTGTATAGGACTCACTACAGTACATGTCAGAAATACCACAGTCACTTGTCACAACACCTAGTCCTCTTAGTGTCATAACTGGAAAACCTGTTTCAACATGGCCACTGTGCCTTTAATATGCACAACATATCATTAATATTTGGGAGTTAAAGTGCGTATGACAGGTTTTGATGATTCTCTAAGCTCTGTTTAGTTTGTTACTATAATACCTGTTGTAAATATAAATTGTAGTTTTATACCAACTGAGAAGCAGTTTGTGAAGAAAAGCTGAAAAATATGTTGAAAATTACAGTAAGTGGAGAGTTCTAGTTTAAAGATGAAAAAAAAAAAGGCACAATTTATACTCACAGAACACATTTTTCTTCTAACCTGTCATATGTACATTTTGGGAGTACATTTCAGTTAGGGTGTGTCATAGAAGAAAGAAAGACAGGTTTGCCCGTTGGCTCTTTTCCATATAGACGTACAACCCACAGTAATATTCAATGGCCGACAATCAAAGGGAGGAAGACATAAAAGAACACTTGAACAGAGAGGGCGATGCGACCTTCTGACGCCTCTAGGGGGTGCTAATGCTCCATCGCATAGCTGAGGTGTCTGACGCTGCCAGGCAGAGGTGGAAGTAGAGAGAGGATGTTAAGCAGAGTGAAAAAAAGGATCTCATCTCTCGTTCTCTAAAACAAGGACAAACTGCATTTAAGAAAATATGAAAAAGCAAAACAATGGTGTATTCAGGACTAACTTCAAAAAGCCTTGGCAGCACCGATTCAAACTTTAGAAATGAGTAATAATTTTATTTTGTCTAACGATTACACTTCAAACCAAGTTCAAATTCTGCAGATATAAAACTGTTATTTTAAAGTGATGTTCAGTTGGGAGAAATTATATTCTTTTCAAAACATGCACTTGGATTTTCTTGAATGGTCCACAAATTAACTCCTACAAAAAAAAAACGATATTTCTAAAGATGAAAAGATTGACCGACCAATATGTTTTGTTATGTTCTTTGTATTGTAGGGCAGGGAGTAATGAGATTCACGTACAAGATAAATATGATCTATTAAAAACAACAATTCAACATCTATGGTTCAAGACATGTAGATCTATGTTCAAATGTAATGACAACATAAATATTTGGACACTTATTGGTGTATTCACAGAAGGAAGAGTAACCCCAGCACCTAGGCTACTCTCTGGAATGTATGGCATTAAAATAATCTTCATAGTAACAGGGAGCAGGTGAAGGCCAAGCTGCAGGTCAGATCTGTGGAGAGGACCCTGCTCACAGTAAGAGTGCTCGATGGAGACACATGGACTTGATTACCAGCTTCAGCAATTAGGCTACAGTGAACACCGAGTGAATGTGGCCCTTCATAAAAGAAGTAAGTGTAGGTACAGAAGAAACAAGCATACTATCACCTGGATTAACCTTCATAGACTCTTGAATTTATATCTTTTTTCATTTTATGGTGGATAAGAAGCACTGACATTTCCACAGTTTCTATGCACCCACTGAACCATATATTCCGCACGGTTTTCTCAACCTGCCCCTCTGTGTGGCACTGGTATCTGTCTGAGTCATGTCTAACCCCGAATAAACTCCAGACCAAGGTGCGTTTTGACAACACTACAAAATAAAGTGACTGATATCGACTACCCACTTTTATTCTCAATTGTATCAAGCTTTTAAAGGGACTCAGAATGTGAGGTTGGTAGAGATTTGGAGGGTTTAGCCCGTGACCTTAAGCTGTGGCAGTCACTGAGGTATACCTTAAAGCTGACAGGGAGATTAAGTGAATGCACTAGACACTGATATAAACAACGCTTAGGGAGCATTATTTTGCAGTTACCATCTCAAAAAAGTACCATTTTAAAGTTAGAAAGAAACGTGGCCAGCATCCCATCACTGATGCTTTTGAGTAATGTATACTTTATTGTCCTCATAGAGAAACCTGTCCTCTGTATTTGACCCATTCTTCAGTCAGTCACTTCACCCAAGGCGACCCATCTTAAGATAGGCTTTGTCAAGACTAACTGGAGAATGACCTGATCCCCAAGTGTACAAAGCTATACTCAATGTTAGCATTTTTGATTTATCATTATTATTTATTTCATATCATATTGTTTTGCACTATGAAGTACCATATTCACAAATGAAAAGGACAAGCATTTTCAAGCAATCAATCAATATCACTTTATTTGTCCCAGAGGGCCATTTTATGCACACTAAGCAGTAAAATATAATAGTAACAGAAAGCTCAAACAAACGTCTTAGTAGAAGAGTCAGGATAATCAAATCTAGTGTCAGGGCAGTTTGAGGAGAGTAACAGTCCTCAGTGCAAATGTGTCCCTCCACTGTGTCCTCTGTGTCCTACAGACTGAGCATCACTGTGAGCGTCCAGGGGCAGAAAAGCCTCTTCTAAGGTTCTCTCTTTTTCTGCTCTGAGATGGGACATTCCCTTGAAGTGTTTCCTCTGGAACGTCTTTTGCCAGATTTGGGATACAGGAAAACCAAACTGCTCAAATCATACAATCCAATAGTCCTTAACTTCTGTTCTTCGGACTGTGCAAGCTGCACTTTTTAGTTGGTCAAAATCCCAAAATATTAAGTAAAACATTTAAAAAGCTATACAGTGCAACTTTAACCAATAAAAGAAGTAAGTTGCATGCCTTTAGTCTTTCTCCTAACACTTCAGAACTTGAAATTAAAGAAATGTGTTCAAAAAGTAACCTTTCTCTTAATCCCCCCAGAAACAGCTGCCTCTGTCAAAAAACGAGCTGAACAAAACTCTATCACAATTCAATTTTGTGCTGGAAAGTTCATCTTTATTCACCCTGAAATCCTACATTTACCTCGCATGTTGTGTAAATATTATTCTTTCCATCTATGGTGACGCACTTAAGTTGCCCCTTTGTCTATCTCGCCCCTCTCTCTCACAGATCTGTCCCGTTACTGTCAGGGGGGTTGTATTCGCTCGGGTCATGTCCTATGGTGACAAGTACGGGTGACATGGACCCAGCCCCCAGAGCCTAGTGTTGTGACAGAAGTGTGTGGGTGCTGCCTGGGTGCATGATGTCACCCGGATCCCTCGAGGTCACAATCTTCAACGTGATCTGTGAGCTAAGAGATGGCTTTCAGACAGTGAGTATAAAACAAGTTGGACGACGAAGAAATGGGAGTATCTGGGGGGGGAAGTTATACTGGATTCTTGGAGATTAATACTTAAGAGGCAAAGATGAGATGATTTGAACAAGTGCAGATAAATACGGTGAATGTACTGAAGGATGCAGTTCAATTCAAATCCATTTATTTTTTATAAATAAATCACAACAGCAGTCACCTCACAAGGGCTTAACAAAATAGTCGATTTAGCCAACAGAAAGTTAGAAAATCAAACCTTGAAACAGCCATTGGTCCATAACAGACAAGCAGATTAACCATCATTCACAGGAAATAATAAAATGGGTAACTGTCCAGATATGAGCAGATATTAACAGCTAAAACTTCATTCAGTCTTTTCACATAATTCAGCTAACTTTTCTTTTTTAGTATTTCATTGGATTTCTTACTCTGACTTCAAAAATGTATATAGTTACAGAATACTGAATACCTATAACAGTACTATATATTGTATATTAGTGTAAATATGCATTTTAGGATTAAAACAGCTTTATATTTGCTTCACTGTTGGTTGTGCATTTATTTTTGCTGATCAAAAACATAAATTACACTTGCATGCACCATAAGATCATTGTTTTATACTTTTCTCACTGATTCTGTGCAGTTTGAAGCCTAAAGTACTGCCATGTACTCGTTTGATTTTATACAAGTGTGGATACCTCTGCCACCACTCCATAGTG